AAAAAGAAGATCCAAGTTCAACAGTCAAACATGATCAAAGTGTATAACTGTTTCATGGGAGGTGTAGACAGAGCTGATGACAACATTGATAAGTATTGAGCATCAATCCGAGGAAAGAAATGGTATTCAAGTCCTCTTTTGTTCTGTTTTGAATTGGTCTTACAAAATGCTTGGCAACTGCATAAAACATATGATGAAAACCCAATGGATTTTCTGGAGTTTCGTCAACGTGTGGTATGCCATTATTTGGAGACCCATGGTCTTCCTCTAGACCCCGGCCGGAGAGGAAGACCTTCTCAGAAGTGTAACATTGACACAAGTTTTGGTGGCATGAATCATGTGATAGTCAAGCAGGGAAAGCAAACTTGGTGTGCTGAATGTCATAAGAATTCACTTTTCGGTGTGAAAAATGTGATGTTGCCTTACATGTGAAGTGTTCTGTTGAATATCACACTGACTAGCAGGTGTCACCACCTACTGAGATAAGAAACATGATTTTATACATTATGTACAATATAGCAGGGGTTTTGCCTAGTGTTTCATTTTTGGAATGTCACATAACAATGGAGTATAATAAAACATTTTTTTCCAAAAAAAAAAAAAATTCTGGCCAAGCATGGTGGCTCATGCCTGTAATTCTAGCACTCTGAGAAGCCAAGGTGGGAGGATCCCTTGAACTCAGGAGTTTGAGACCAGCCTGAGCAAGAGTGAGACCCCATCTCTACTAAAAATAGAAAAACTAGCCATGTTGTGGCAGGTAACTGTAGTCCCAGCTAATCAGGAGGCTGAGGCAGGGGGATTACTTGAGCCTAAGAGTTAGAAGTTGCTGGGAGCTAGGCTGATGCCATGGTATTCTAGCCAGAAAAACAGAATGAGACTGTTGCAAAGAAAAAAAACAACAAAATTTCAAGACAAAAGGGGACAGAACTGTCTTGTACCTGCTTTGAGGTCATTAGGGGTTGTCCCCAACCCCCACCTCGTACCCAGTATTAATAGTGGGAAAGACCTAGGTGTGTTAGCTAAGGTCATTCAAAGACTTACAGGACCCTGGCCTGCCCTGAAGACACTTTAGGTCTCTTCTGGTTCTGGTTGTAAGGAGCAGAGAAACACTTGTTAACGCCAAGGAACATATGACAAAGGTACAAGTCAAATCTGTGAAATGTAGAACATTGATGTTTTGGCACAATAATCAAGTAAATGCGATGAAAGCTATGTTGATTGGTTAAATCTAATCATGTTAAATTGTAGAAAAAGAAAAAAAATCAGCACATTGTACCCCACATATGCATGAATGTATCCATGATCTATGTGTATTTGACTTAAAAAAAGCAAAAGAAACACTTGTTAACGCCAAGAAAGAGAAGTAAACAAGGAAGCATGTGTACAGGACAAGAAGACCATTGGGTCCAGAGCCACTTGTGCTGAGCTGGCTCAGTGCACACCGGCTCACTGTGCTGGCCCCTGCTTCCTCATTCAGTCTGTGTTATGTCATTCTCCCCTGCCCCTGTGCGGTTTCTGTTCCCTCATGATTTATGGCTGCCCCAGGGCTTCAGCGTGGCCTGGCCCTCACTCCCTCACAGCATCCTCACAACTCTGGCCTCTGCCAGCCAGCAAGTTCTTCCTGTTTTCATGTTCCTGGGGAGGACGTCTGATCGGCCTGGTTGTTGGATGGCAGGTCATAGGGCACTGGGGTGCTGCCTAATGCACACCATGGCGTCCTTGCTGTGAAAGGGGTGGCTGCATTAGCAAGGAGTCCGAGCACCATCTCCACTAAGGCCAAGTGTGACTGTCAGTCAAAGCTGTCTCCCTGTGGCTTCTCTTTGCCAGTTCTGGATTTATTTCCAGAGTTACCTGGTTGTAATAATGCTGGTTTATTTCTTTCTCCCAGGTGAAGCATGGTCATTCCAAGCTGGTCTGGTGTGCTCTTGTTGGGAAAACTTTCTACTACTATCGGAGCCATGAGGACAAGGTATTTCTTCCACCTCCTGGCAGCACCCACTCTCCTGCTCCCCCTAAAGCAATTACTATGGCGCCATGTCCTAATGAAAGTCCCTAACTTTACCCTCTATAACATCTAACCCAATGACAAGTACAACAGCCAGTTGGCCAGATCCCTCCAGAGTTACATAGCCCAGTGTGCATGGCCAGCAGATTCTGCCTGTGTGGTCCATGGTGCTTCTCTAGGCAGGCCTCATTCTGTTCCTAGCCTGGCTGGGAGCTGCAGTTTCCATTGCCCACCTCCCCATGCTGTCATCCACCCATATCCATGCTTCCCAGCCCTACAGAGCCCAAGCCTCTCTCATCCCCCTCTGGCTTGCCTATTCATGGCCGACTCATGTCCACAGCGACCCCTGGGCCGTCTGCCTGTGCGGGATGCGCGCATAGAGGAAGTAGATCGATCCTGTGACTCAGATGAGGACTATGAGGCTGGAGGAACGGGCAGGCTGCTTTCCTCCCACTGCACCCTGGTGATCCACCCCCCAGAGCACAGCCCCACCTACCTCCTCATTGGCACAAAGCATGAAAAGGTAAGGAAGGGGATCTGGGCCTCCAAGGCCAAGCTTAGAGTTGTGATAATCATCTTCCTTCTCTTTTTCTCCTGAGCTCCCCCAAATTCAAGTTTATTTCCCTCTTGGACACTTTGACAATTAATACTCTGAATGGGAATATTCCTTTATATTGAATTCGTTCCCAGTGACCAAGATCTCTTCACTGGGGCCATGAGATAGAACCACAGACTTGGAAACTTGAGTCTTCCCTCCTAGAGTCTGGTGGCTTTGACTCATGCCAACCAGACTAGCTGAACCCTACCATGGGTGTGGCCCCTTTGAGGAGCCCTCCTTGGAGCTCTTGCCTGTATTTCTTCCCACCCTCTTCCAGGAAACATGGCTTTACCACCTCACCGTGGCTGCAGGTGGCAGCAGTGCCAAGGTGGGCACTGCCTATGAGCAGCTCATTGGAAAACTGATGGACGGTGAGGGAGACCCAGGTAAGGCAAGGGTGGCATCACTGCTTGGGTGGGGGCATTGCTGGGTAACTGTTGGTCAAGAACCTAAGGAAAGCACTGTTGTGCCCCAAAGCTCTTTCTAAAACATCTAGGCTACAGAGGGAACTTCCCATCCCAGTGCCAGGGCCCCTCTGTCTCTGGCCAGGATACTGAGATGACCACTCTGTATCTTGGGGAGTTAATCTGGGAAGAAGCAGACTTTCCAGTGACTTGTGTAAATGTTTTACTTTGTTTAACTCGCAGCTTTGCTGGCTGGGCAGAGGGTTGAGGAGGGAAGGTAGCTGGTTAATGTATAGTTAGAGTCTGTTAATAAATGAAATCTAAATTGGGATCAGGCTAACCTAAACCTGGGCTGCTTTTTTTTTTTTTGAGACAGAGTCTCAAGCTGTCACCCTGGATAGAATGCTGTGGTGTCACAGCTTACAGCAACCTCAAATCTTGGGCTTAAGCGATTTTCTTTTTCTTTTTGGGGGTTTGCAGTTTGGCCAGGGCCGTATTTGAACCTGCCATCCTCGGTATATGGGGCCAGCGCCCTACTCACTGAGCCACAGATGACGCTCTCTTACACAGTTTTCTTGCCTCAGCCTCCCAGGTAGCTGGGACTACAGGTGCCTACCACAATGCCCAGCTATTTTTTGGTTATAGTTGTCATTATTGTTTGGCAGGCCTGGGCTGGATTCGAACCCACCAGCTCCTGTGTATGTGGCTGGTGCCTTAGCCGCTTGAGCTACAGGCACTGAGCCATGACTTCAATTTTTTAAAGGAGAAAAAAAATGCTGGCCTCCCAGTAGGAACTGCCATGTGCAAAGTGAAATAAAAGTTTGTCCTTTATCTGAGAGATTGAACTCAGTGTTAGTGTGGCCACAGTATTCTCCCCTCTGAAGAGAGCAGCCAGAGAGGGTGGCTTCCTTACCCACAGGCTACCACACTTGCTACCACTTGACCCCAGCAGTCTGGCTCCTAATACCTGGAATCCAAGTAATGGTGTCAAAGGCAACCTCCCCATCAGGTCCTGAAACTCTAGGACACTATGAACTGCCCAGGAGTCTGCGAGCCATACTGATTCCTGGTCCCTTCTCCTCCAATTCTATGGCTCTGATGTAGACGATCTATGTTGGAGAAATGCTGAGTGGTGGGTGTGAGGACGCAAAGGGGGCAGAGAGAACTGGTCCTGGACAAGGTGAGGAGCACCTGTCATCCTAGCACTCTGGCAGCCTGAGGCAGGTAGATTGCCCTGAGCTCACGAGTGTGAGACCA